CCCGGTTGTTGTTGTTGAGAGAATCATTAGTCTAATCCATAACAAACTCACCATTACACCCTAGCCATAGCTCCCTGGAACTCTGCCTCACACTAGATCTAGCAACCAACATCTGTTTCTTCCTTCGCACGGACTTGGTTGCTCCAACAAATGTGCAACATTCCTTGAAGTTATTGTCTGTCAGTTACGGATTCAGCCCAATCCGCATCAATGAATGCATCCACACTATTGATGTCCATGCTTTAAGAATGAACCCTTCTAGGAAGATAGCTGCTCAAGTATTCAAGATTCTGCTAAACTGCCTCTAAGTGGGAATTCTAGGAGCATGCATCAAATTGTTGACCCCATTTGGTCACTACAATGGGCAAGTTCTAGACGTGGTGGGATGAGTATATGAGCTTATCCACTAGCCTTTGGTAATCTCCTCCATGTCACTGGAATCTCTCCCTTGTATTCCTCACTTAGTGATTTTGGCCCCGTTCTAGAGGTGTATCACATGGTATACCTCTAAGGCAGTCTAGTTTTCTGAGCAAGTCAAGTACACATTTCTTCTAGCATATTGAAGATACCATCCTTGAACCGAGCTATTTTCAATGCCAAAAAAATTACTGTCCTAATAAATGCCTTAAGTCTTTGATTTCAAACTCCTTGGCTAGATTTCATTCAATTTGAGGATCTCCCTTAGCTGTATCATCCTTTGTCAGAACAATATCATCAACATAGGACAATAAGAGCTGTGGTCCTTACCAAGTGAAAAAGGTTTCACAAAATAAGTTGTTGATCAGCTTAACTTGTTTGAACCCATTATCTCAGCATAGTTTGGAGCAAAATTTTCAAACTCGCAAGCAAGCCTTAGCGGATTGCTTTAGCATATAAAGTGACTTTCGGAGCCTGAACACTTTACCTTTGGACCTAGCATCCTCAAAACCAGGGAGAATATCCATATAGACCTCTTCTTCTAGGTCTCCATGAAATAAGGCATTCTTCACATCAAATTGATGAAGTGGCCAATCCAAATTTGTTGCAAGAGAGAGTAGTATTCTCACAAAGTTCATCTTCGCAACTGGTGCAAATGTCTCCTGGTAATCTACCCCATAAGTCTGAGTAAAACCCTTAGCAACCAGTCTTGCTTTGTACTGTTCTATGGAACTACTTTGTGTTTCACAATGTACACCCACTTACACCCAACTGAATTTTTGTCTCTAAGTAACTCCATTAACCCCTAAGTGCCATTCTTGCTGAAAGCTCTCATCTCCTCCATCATGGCATGTTTCCATTCAGAAATGGAGAGAGCATCCTGAAAATTGTAAAGCAGACTAACGGAAGAAATTTTAGACAGAAAGACTTTATAAGAGAGAGACAGATTAGAATAATAGACATGATTAGTAATAAGATGTTAAGTACATGACTTAACCCCCTTCCTAGTAGCATTGGGAACATCAAGATCTGAGAACTCAGGCATAGGAGCATTAGGGTTAGAATTACCTGGATTCGCAGGAGAGGGAGATGACTCTGGACACTCATCCGGAGAAGAAGCTGGCAGTAGAGGAGGGAAAGTAGTCTCTTCCATCCAGGTGACTTTCTGTCTATCTTTGATAATGACATAAACTTTGCATTTTTCCTTTTCCACAACAATTGCTGGCTCAACATCCTCTATTTGTTCCACCATTGGTGGCAGTGGCACAGGAATCTCTTCACACCAAGGCACCACCTGAAGGGAGGACTGTGACAATGAGGATGTTGGAAAGTAAGAGTGAGACTCAAAGAAAGTGACATCCATGGAAACAAAGTATTTGTGAAATGGAGGATGATAACACTTATAGCCTTTTTGGGTGGCAGAGTAAGCCAGGAAAACACACTTAAGAGACCTAGGATCCAATTTACCACGAGGGGTAAATGATTATGGACAAAACAAACACATCCAAAGGTCTTAGGGGGAATGGAGAACCCAGAAGACATGAAACGAACAAAACCTGAATAGGGGTGCGTTTTTGAAGGACTTGGGTAGGTAGACGATTAATCAAATAAGCTGCAATGACTACCGCTTCCCCCCAATATGATCGAGAGACACACATTTCAAAGGATAGACAACGGGCCACATCAAGAAGATGACAATTTTTCCATTCTGCAACACCATTTTCTTGAGGAGTATTAGTGCAAGAAGTTTGGTGAATAATGCCATGAGTAGCAAAATAACTGGCAAGACCAGAGTCAATATATTCCCCTCCCCCGCTTCCCCCAAATTATCAAAACACAATTTTTACAACTGCCCCAAACTGAGTGTTAGTATATTATTCTATGTTAGTGTATATCAGCTGTTAGTAGGGTATATTTCTTTTCCTTTTACTTTATTTTATTAGTGCAACTTTCGGCTCCTCCTCAATTCCTTTTGTTAAAACCTACACCTACCACACACACTCACCTACTCTCCTACACCTACCACACACACTCACCTACTCTCCACCTACTCCCTACATCTACATCTATATAAGGAACCCCTCAACATTTGTAATATATCAATACATCAATCAATAATACATCAATTTTAACATGATATCAGAGCAGATTTAGAACCTAATATTTTTCGCTTCATCGGCGAACGGCAACCTCACCTTAGCCGTCCGCCGGACCTCAACCTAATCCGCTAGAATTTTCTACACATACCTTGAAATTTCTTCGAGTCCACCACCACTGCCCCTCCTCTCCCTGCGATCCCCACCACCTCCGCCGGAAGAACCCTCCAGATTCACACACACGGCATACATTGGGAGATGAATCCATACACACATGCATCTGCTCTCGGGTTCTCTCACTATGGAACCACCTCAACCACTGCCGCCGCCGCCATGTCTTCCTCTGGCCGACGCCGCCGCCGCCTCACGAACACCGTCCCCATCAGCTCCGCCGAGAAGGTAATCGGAGATGACGATCTCCTGAGGCAGATCCTCCTACGGCTACCAGCAAAGCCTCTCCTCAAATTCAAGCTCGTATCCAAGACCTGGTGCTCTTTGATTTCCGATCCTTTCGTCCTTGCCAATTGGATCCCTCCAATTTCAGCTTCCTCTTTTTTTTCTTCTCAGGACTTCTCTCCTTCTTCCCGTATTATCAAGTTCAATCACATATCTCACTCTCTCGGCAGTTTTGGGTTAGCGCATATTGTGCCTGTTTACCGGAGCTATATGCAGAATTACGGGCCATTGGTTGAACAAGATGCGAGTGGAAGCAAGTATGCAAAGTACACAGCGCAGTCTTTGGAGAAAATGCTTAGCTCTCTCTTGTATTCATCGAAGATCAGTCAGGGTTCTGATAGAAATGAACCTCCATTAATTTCAAACCAAAACAACAAAAAGTCAATCTACATCACAGAACTAGAGAGAGAGAGAGAGCCACTCAACTTTCTTTTTTTTTTTTTATTATTTTACTCCATCTTTTGCAAAGCACACGACACACAAATTGATTTGCACATGCACTTTCTGATAACATTCTTTTTCTTTATTTTTATTTTTTATTTTTTAATTCCATCCACTCCCTCTCTCTCTCTCATCCCTTTTTCTATCCACTAGACCCACTTTCATCATTTCTCTGATTCCATTACTTTCAACTCAAACCTCTCTCTACACAGAACCCACCATTCATCCCATTTTTTCACTTTCCACCCACATGCTTTCGCCATTCATATCTTATTATTCTTATTCTTAAACCCCAAAAAAAAAAAAAAAAAAAAAAAAAAAAAACCAATGTTATTATCATGACATGTATTTTTTTTAAACTTAAAATATCATTACGAAGAAAGATCATAGTTCGAATTTCCCCACATGCGTTATTTCTCATGTATTTATTAGGACTTTGCTCTCTCATTTTGGGAGTTTTTTTTTATAATGTATTATATTTGATTTTTGTCCCGATAAATAAATAAATAAATAAATACATACAAATAAATAAATAAATAATACAAAAAACAATATATAAATAAATAAGCCATTATCACTATCAAAATGAAAGGAGATACATTATCGTTATCCCTGCAAAAACTTACAACAAAGCTATAAATAAATAAATAAAATCCATAATGCAGAGTTCTTATTCTTTGAAATAAATTTGTCAGCCTATGATAATATAAAATAAGCTCAACAAAAACAAAGGAGGATTAACTGAAGATCACACCTTAATTTTTAGAGCCTTGCATTAATTCTATTCAAGCTTAATACATCATCACTCCTAGCAAAAGCAGCATTTATTTCGAGTCCCACCCCTTTGGATGTCGCATTACTGCTACTAGCTTGAGAACAAAGGTATGATAATGATTGCAGCCATGAAACTAAGGTCGGTTTTCGTGTAACATCATCAGATTCTGCAACTTGTGCATATAAATCATTAAGAACCATGTTCTGGCCATCTCTGGGGAATATGGCAATCAATTGAGCTAACTGTTTCATCAAACTGGGTAGGACCTGTAAAAAAGATGGTCATTAATACTTTCTTTTTTTAGATTAAAGGTCATTAATACTTTCGTCTTCAAAGTCGATGCGATATCCAAATCATTTTCTACAACTTGTTTGAAAGCAATATAATTCATACAAAAATAAAATAAAATAAAATAAAACAAAAAATGAATTTGATTTATAATCATTAGCAGAATAATAAAATGATTCTGTTAATATATTTGAGTAATTAAATGAATAACTAAACATTTCATAATTAGTAAGCTGGATTTATTGTCATAACCTATGTTTTCCAACATAATCAATCTAGTTGAACCATAACCATGAGCAAATGCATAAATATTCTCCTAGAAGATAAGTGGATATATGAAGTTATGTTGCTGAGATCTATCTAGTACAACATATCTTTTGAATTCCCTCATTTGAAATTAAAATGGAACTAAAGATAAAAGATTTTGGGGGTTATTAAATGATACAGTCAAAACAAGGTATTGGTAAATAGAAACCTGGATAAACTTATCAACACCTTAACATTGAATTCTATGAATAAAATATTCATTCAAAACAAAAACAAATCAAATACAAATACAAATACTAACTATTAATTAGAATTTACCTGTATATCCACCAGGGAGAGAAGCCTTAAAAGCAAATCTAGGATTTTCTTACAAGGCTCCAATTCTTCTTGCCAATTCTTCCACAGATCAGCCTCTTCAGTCATAACTTCACAGCAGAGGTTATGAGTTTTTTCAACAAGACTGTGGATAGTGTAGAATATAGACGGACTTCCAGCGGGAAGATGACGAACCAAGGCAACAACTCCAGAAGCCATTCCCTCAAAAGGGGTGATCCCAGGATATCCCTATATTTACATCAACGAATCACATTAACAGAGCTACTTTTTTTCATTTTCATGATCAAGTTCGGACTTGACAAGTATGGTAATCAGAAGCTTTGAATAATACCTCCAATGATGTCTGAATGTAATAAAAAACAAGCTGCTCCTTTAGTAAAACTCTTTCATCATCATTAGAGTCCTTCCCAGAAGACACAAATGCCACAAACAGTGAATGCGAGGCTCGAGCTACTTTTCCATCAGGATGTCCCATATATCTAATCGAATATGTAATAAGGAACCCAAGCTCATCATGACCAACAAATGTTAAGGGCATTCTTTGTTTTTTGCTTTTTCAAACTGTTTTCTGTTCTCAAAAAACATTTAAAAAATGGAAAATGACACGGAAAGCTTGTTTTAGCTTACTTTAGCTTTCAGGAAGTTAAGGAGAGTTAAGACGATGAGAGCGAACCTCTAGCGAGGAGGTTCACTCTCTTTGATAACAAGCCGGACGAAAGGACATTCTCTCTCTTGCCATTGATTCGTGCTACTGAGCGCTATGCACTTGCCGACATCAATGAGAATTAATTATTGGAGACAGACCAGTAAAACAGCAGTAACCACAGATACAATCCTCAATCAACAAGGACAAAATGTAATATGTGTTTATGTAGCTATTGGTCAAAAAGCATCTTCTGTGGCTCAGGTAGTGACTACTTTCCAAGAAAGGGGAGCGATGGAATACACTCAAACTCAAGGTATTTTGGCAAAAAAACACTTTGCCAAGAAGAAATTGAAACCGGGCAATAGTGTGAGTTTTGGTAAAGAAGTCAGCAAGTTGTAGAGCCGAAGAGACGAAAGGAAGCGAGATAGAGCTAGACTGCAGATGCTAACGAACAAAGTAACAATCAATCTCAATGTGCTAGGTCCGCTCATTAAAGACAGTGTTATGTGCAATCTAAATAGCACTGCGGTTGTCACAATAGAGGGAGGTCAGAGAAGACAGAGGGAAGCCCAAGTCAAAGAGAAGACAACAAAGCCAGACAACTTCAGCAGTAGCATGAGCCATAGCACGATACTTAGTTTCGGCAGTAGAGTGAGCAACAACAGTTTGTTTCTTGCTTTTCCAAGAGATCAAGGAAGCGCCAAGAAACATATAGAAACCAGACGTAGACTTGCGATCAGTAACATCACTAGCCCAATCAAAATCAACATAGGCCACCAATCCAGAGAGGAAGTAGAGGACAATAGTAAACCCTGAAATATAGTACCTCGAATATAGCAAAAAATCCAAACCAATGTAGCCCAATGTGTGGAGTGAGGAGTAGAAACAAACTGGCTAACCACATGAGCAGCATAGGCAAGATCAGAACAAGTAACCGTCAGATAGACTAAGCAACCCACGAGCTCTCGATATAAAGTAGGATCATCCAGAAGAACACCATCAGTAGTGTTGAGCTTTACATTAAGCTCAGTGGGGGTATCAGAAATCTTAGTGTCAGTAAGACCAGCATGATGAATAACCACATTGGCATACTTGACCTGAGATAAAAAGTAGCCCTTGGGAGAAGAAACTATCTTAATACCAAGAAAACACAGCAATGGGCCCAGAGCTTTCATTTTAAAGGTGCGGAAAAGATATTGTTTGACCTCAGATATACCAGAAGAGTCAGAACTAGTGATGATCATATCATCCACATACAGTAATAATGCAACAAATCCAACAGAGGTGTGGAGAAGAAATACAACGGAGTCCTGGGCACAAGGATAAAACCCAAACTCAGTAACAGCAGTCTGAAAGCGATCATACCAAGCACGAGGAGACTGCTTCAGACCATATAGAGCACGCCGAAGGCGACAAACTTGTCTAGAGGAATGGTGAAGGCCGGGGGAAGGACGCATGTAAACCTCCTCAGTGAGATGGCCATTAAGGAAAGCATTCTTAACATCAATCTAATAAAGAGGCCAAGAACAAGCGAGAGAGATCAAAGTACGAACAGTAGTCATCTTGACAACAGGAGCAAAGGTATTCTCATAATCAATACCATACTCCTATGAGAAACCTTTGGCAATCAAAAGAGCTTTGTAGCGCTCAAGAGAACCATCAGAACGAGTCTTAACTTTGTAGACCCATTTACAACCAGCAGGCAAAGGAACCAACTCTCAAGCACAAGTTTTCCGTAAAACATACAACTCATCCTCCATAGCTTGAACTCAATGAGGATCCTAACAAGCCTTCTTGTAAGATTGAGGTTCTAAAAAAGAGTGAATGACAGACAAAAAAGTATGATAGGAGGCAGAAAAACATGTGTTAGATCAACCCAACCTGTTTGGATGATGACGAGCTCGAGTAGGATATCAGTGTGTAGCAGGATCAGAGTCGTCAGAAGTACGAGGATCAGCAGCAGGGGCAGAGACAACTGCTGGAGGAGAAACCTTGCGATGAGAATAAACTAACAACGAAGGAGGAGAAAAAACCGAAGGAGAAGCAGCCAGAGGTGAAGTAGGAGGAGAAGATGGAACAAGCTTAGGAGGAACTGTGGAAATGTACTCATCAGACGGGACCTCAGAAGGAAACGGATCAATATGAACCAAATCCTCTTTGGAAACTAGGGTGATGACAGGAGAAAGCTGAAAGTAAGGTAGATATTCGAGAAAGGTAACTTGGCAGGAGACAAAAAGGCGACAGGAAACAAGGTCATAACTGTAAAATCCAAGTTTTGTATATAATTATTTTTGGATAGATTAGTAATTAAATTAATTTATATGGGTCATTTAGTAATATCAAGGAATTAGTTATGAGATGGTATTATAATTTCTATAACATAAATGGGCAATTTTGTAAATTTGAGAAACTAGATTAATGAACCCACATGTTTTGCTTCAAGTCTGGGAGAAGAACAAAAAACAGAGGGCTCGGGAGGTTCATTTTGAAGGCTGCGCAGGGTTTGAAAAAGAACAAAAAAAAAAAAAGGAAAAAAGGGAAATATTCATAGAG